AGTTATGCCTAGAGTAATTCTAAAGATAAAAATATAATAATTCTCATTCAATCTTCACAGTATCTAATTATATAATGAGTAATTTGTGGGAACAGTGATTCTGCCTCCTCATCTTTCATGCTCATACACATTTTTGTCCCTTACCCGACTACCAGCACATGCTCAAACACTCTTTCACTATTTCTTTTATTAAAACAATTCTATAGTAATACTTCACTTATCCAACCTTCTGAACAACCAGCTGTTCTAAGAGAGTTTCAAGATAAATAAAATTTATTCTTATATCAATGTTTCTAAAAATAGATTACACACATCTTTACTACTTTAAAACAAAACATCTGTTTCTTGATGCAATTTAGGCCCATTTATTTTACCCTGAAACTATTAAAATGTGTGGGGATATTTGGGCATCTGGGTCCAAATTAGCTGGTCTTGGGCAGCTGCACTTTTAGAGTCCCTCTGTTAATGACTTACAGTTTTTATGGCCTTGGCCTTGCCTTCATTTAGTGTGCAGCCACTTCTTAATGAAGCTCTGACTTCTTAAAGCAATAACTACCCTCTTTTTAACTGCTGCTAGGGGTTGACTGTGGTTTGGGAAACCAGGCATCTTTGTTTGTTAGAACTTTTTTTTTTAAGTGGTCTGTGTGTGGATAGGGGACTAAAGAAGTAATGAGGTGCGGAGAGAGAATGAAACAGTAGCTCAGCCAGGCTGGGCCCAGGCTTAGCCCACTGGCAGGGTCTGGGCCGTGTTTTAGTCACAGCTGAGACAGTGGCACAAAAGACCACTGGGCTGAGTAAAGCACTCATGTTCGTTTTCCACCTCGCTCATATGCTACCTTAGCAAGGGTCTTCATACATAGCTGTTTAAAAATTTTTTTTAAAAATTTTATTGTTGTTCAAGTACAGTTGTCTGAATTTTTAAAAAACACATATGAGTTTGTTTACAGTTCAACTGATATATGTCTGTGCAGGCAGAGAATTATTAAAATAACACTAGTCTCCAAAAGAAAAACAAAAGCTTACTTCATCAATACAGGAGCTATACAGTCATGTTTCTTGTGTGTCCACTGAGTTATGTCTTCAAACATAGAAACTTATTACAATAACAAGTCACTAAAAGAAAATGAGAAACCCACCACTTCACAAAATACAGAAACTATAATGGTGACGGCCTGGTAAAGACTCGCTTTTGGTCCAGTATCTACGAATTCATACAGATGAACTGTGTTTACCAACTGTGTCAACTTCGCAGATGTTAAGAAACCACTATACACTTAAAATTTTGTATTTTTTTCCAAGTATTTTTACATTTATAATAGCTTTTTATATTAGCAGATTGTAAACACTTGTGTTTGGCTAATAAACCTAAATTTCCTCCTGAACACATAACTTTGATCAAATCTAACCATAAAGAAAAGAAGAAAGGAAGGGTAATAAGAAAGAGAGAAACATCTTTTACAGGCATAGCAATATTTTACTTCAAGCTACAGAAAGCACATGCTAATTTGCATAGCTTTCATAAAAATGTTCTAATTATACCCTAGTCTACTTACCTGTGACTTATCCAAAGGAAAAACCCAACTCCAAGTTGGCTTTCTATGACCTAGAAGGCCCGTGGCCCTGTACTTTCCTGGTAGTTAGTATGCTGTGTTTTCAGAAATTATAAGCTATGATTATTATGTTTATTAAAGTAACAGAATAAATATAATGCACAAAATGGACAGATAAATGGGAGTTATCTCTGGTTAAAGCCTTTCTACATAAATCTGTAAGAACTCCTGAAAAGGAGTTAAATAGGAACGGAACCAGAGATAACAGTCCAAAATGAAATTCTTCCAGCGTCCAGCAAGATTTGTCTTAAGAGTATAAAAAATAAATCAGGTATTTTCCTTAAGGCTCATTCTGAGTGCACATTTTGTTCTAAGCTCTGTTTGTTTTTTGCAACAGCATTTAAGAGAAAACCAACTGACCATTTACAACCCAAACAAAGGCTTTGGAGCAGGACATTAAGAAATGCACCTGGTCTGACTCAAACACCACGTTTGTTTAACCTGTGACTGTCCTGTGTCTGGGGGTCAAACAGGGGGAAGGAGATTGATTGGGGGAAGGAAAGAAGAGCAAACACAACTGATTCACAGAGAACAAAACAGTTGCACTAACTACCCTTTGTAATCACAACTGTTTTAACAGTTTCTAGTAAGCAAGACTATCATTTAAGTGACCCACTATAATTTGGGATGAAGCCCCAAGAAATTTTGCCAATGTAAGGACAGGAGTTTCATTTCTGAGTTTACTCAGCATAACGAACCCACTGAAATGTGGATAGTCCTTCTGTGGTATAAATTTACACCAAGGGGAACATTAACAATAAAAGGAATTTAGCTAGAAAGGAAAAAAATGCCATAACATTCACTACTAGGAGCAGACCAGAGTTTATTCTACTTTTGCATCTTTTTTATTATGGAATATTTCAATCACAGAAAATAAACACAGAGTAGAGTGATGAACCCCACAAACCCATCACTCAGTGTCAATAATCATCAACACAGGCCCAATCTTTTAATCTACCCTACCCACTCCCTTCCTTGAATTCTTTTTTAAAGCAAATCCCACACAGCCTATACTTTATTTTGTGTAAGTTTTCATTTATAATGCATGTGCATATTTAACCTAAAGGTCACTACAGAAATTTCACTGAGCATGACATATTTCAGCCAACCATAACCACCTCTTACAAAATGTTTTAAACTAAAACTTATCTGCCCAGAAAACTAATTTGTTTAAATATAATTGGTTAATTAAAATGACAAAGTAACTTGAATCACAACCCTCTACCATTTTATTTATGGGGAGAAAGGAACATTCTGAGACTGAGAAAATAGTGCACGCTACTCACTCCCTGTGACTTCAGTCTTCGTGGACACCGGTAAACAAGGGACAAGGTTGAAAGTAACACGGATTCACCCAGATCAAACTGGAAAAATGGAGGAGGCGACCAAGGGGCAGGAGAGCTGCCAAGGAGGAAACTTTTCCCTTTTCCTTCACTACACATACGAATGAAACAGAATGCCAATAGGCCAAACCTTGGAAGCTTCAAAAATCACTCATCAAGTAGTCTAGCTACTTACAATAATTTATTACCGGTCTCAAAGCAAAGATCAAAAGGAACCCCATCTAGCACTTATATTCAATTCCTCACTGCCTGATGACTAATTTGTAGAGGAACGAAGTCTTCACAAGGGAAGCCAAAATAATCTGAGGTGACTTTGATACAATGCCACAAAGGATATGAAGAGGAAGCTGGTAGAAGCTGCAAATGGCTAAGTTCCATTAAGAGTTCTAATAAAAGAATAGTGGAATTTCCCTTAACTGTGAATTAAAAAGATGTTAGAAGTGAGCAAATTATAGACAAGTCAGGCAAAACATTTGTCACAGTTTTGATGTTGTTAAATGTTAACTTTAGCCACTGCTACATTTATGTTCATTACAGAGTCATCTAAAAAATTCAACTGCTTTGGTGTGGCTCAGTGGACTGAGTGCTGGCCTGTGAACCAAAGTGTTGCTGGTTTGACTCCCAGTCAGGGCACATGCCTGGGTTGCAGGCCAAGGCCCCAGTTGCGGGTGAATGAGGGGCAACAACACACTGATATTTCTCTCCCTCTCCTGTCTCCCTTCCCCTCTCTCTAAAAATAAATAAATAAAATCTTAGAAAAAATTTAAAAATTCAACTTTTCCATCAGAAATCTGCCCAATCTCATTCTTTTTGCTTTTGTGTTACTCAACAGTCTGCACCTTCCGTCTGCATTGTTGGCATTGTCAGAAACTAGAGACTCTCTCGATTTCTTTCAAACAAGTTGCTATATGCTGCACAGTGATTGATACAACTTCAAAAAAGTAACCTGATATACTTTTTAGTCTTATAAATAGCCATGATGACATGGAGGAGCATAAACATCTTTTAAAAATTTTTGGTGCGTAAGTTAACTGACCACTATAGAAACACTAGAAACTATTCACATTCTTTCAAGTTCTACGAACAACTGGCACAATTTTTTCCTCCTGAATCCAGACATCTTCATATTCTCAACTGAGGAAAGTAGTTTTCACACTACTTATTTTGGCTAGTTAAAAAATCCCCACCACATGTCTTCTTGTAAATTCATAGAAAAAGATTTAAGTTTATATTAGCAATTCAACTGTGCAAATTTTTTGTTTGCTTCTGAAATCACCTCAAATTAATAGATTATTGGAACCTTACATACTGAAGAAGTTTTGGAGAACTCTCAGAAATCTTGTAATGTATTTATTTCTCTCTGAAGATGGGGTACTGAGCATTTTCTTTAAAAACAGTTATAATTTTTTTAGAGTCCTTATCTTTTACAAATGTACAGTGAAGTACTAATATAGGAAAAGATGTCTGGAAATTCTTCAAATACAGGGAATGGAGAGCATGAGGTACAAATGAATGAAGACTGGCCATGGGCACATGGAGGGATGTGTTCACAGGGTTCTACTTCACTATTTGGTCTTCTGTGTAGCAAAAGTATTGGCAGGGTTATCTCAGACACAGTGCTATCCACTGCTTTTTGTGAGGGTTTTTATTTAGAAAAATAACTTTCCATCAGGAGCGATAAAGAACCAAGAATTGGGAGTTAATATTTCAACTATCTGTACCAATTCAAAAGCCAAGTCCATCACTGGGTTGTTTGGTAAGAAAAACCCAATCAGACCAAAAAACACCCCCAAACCTATCTTTTTAGTGTCTGAGATTTCAGTGACTATGTAACTAGATTTTAATGTGAATGAAATATAATTATTTTAGTTCAAAATATAAATTTTCTGGTTTCTTTTAAAGACATAGAGTTGAAAATCAAAATAGAAATACAAATGAAATTGTTAGGTATACTATAAAATCACTATGTGCCTGGAAGGGCTGGGCCATACACTCAGAAAGACTTTTCTACTACCTGACATGCCAATCACATGCATGCATCTCTTACCTTGTGATCGTATGGGCTGTAAGAATGAAACACCCGAGAAAGATCTTTTGTCCTTTGCTTTTTCTGTAGAAAAAACACAAACATTTGCGATAAGTGGCAAAACACATACATGCATCTATATGTCTACATATCTATATTTATTTCTCTATTTGCATGAAGATAATGTTTATTTAGAGATTCCTCCCCGTGCAGGATGAGGGGCTGCAGTGTTGATATGGGATGTGTGCAATCAGAAATCAAAGCCACTTGATGGCCATGTGGGCCACTGTCACAGACCAGCCCCAACAAACTCTTCCTAGGTTTCATAATTAAAACATTGCTCATCAAAAACTCTATTGTAAATACATAACTTAAAGACTAAAAATGAAAAAAAAACTGTGAAAAGAAAAAAACTCTTTGAATTTTGTTGTAATGCCAGCTGCTGTTACTCTGAATTGGGCACCTGCATGCGTCCATTTAAACAGTATGCGTCCTTTGGGCCTCCTCATCACAGCTTGTGCCTGTCTGCGTGAGGCCACCTTTGAGCTGTCACTGCTCTACAGTCTGGGTGCCTTGCGTGGTGTTTGACACACCATAGGCACTCAATAAATATTTGCTAAATGATGAAAAAATGAAATGCCCAAGTCAGACAGGCACAGCTATGAGTATCTTTATGACCACTCCTCAACCTCACATGCGGTTATGAAAAGCAAAGCTACTTTCTGCTTCTGATGTATTTATTGTTCTCAAGTTGAACACAGGCGCTACTTAAGTCCCCTCTGCCCCTCCTGCTCCCCGGTGTTTGAACGAAGAAATGTGGGGTTCCCTATTACAGTTGACCATAAGAAGCAGCTCATTTTCTCAAACACCGTAATCTTTATTTACACCTGCCATAACCACAACGAACAATTTTGTGTATGGTTCTAGACCTGCTATGCCTGCATCTTCACACACAACTGATTACTATTACTTCCTAAGAAGGAGGGCATTCTGGGTACACTGTTCTGAAGGTTGCTTTTTCCACTTCACAATTTATCCTTGCTAAACTTAAAGGCTTGTATATCCAGATCTGCAATCCTTTATACAGAGTTCTCCCACCCAAAAACTTCGAAATCTGGAACTTTTTTCGCCAGTTCCTTGCAATTTTTAAAATTATAATGATTATCTGCACAAATATCTGCCAGATCGAGAGTGGAAAATTTTAAAAACGAAAGCATGGAAGTCCAGTTGCCAGATGGAATCGTACGCGTGTTCACCACCTCGGCAGGTATGCTGTACTGCCCCTTCTCACGAACAATGCACCAATTGGTCTTCCCGCCGAGAGTGAACGAGAGAAGAAATGGCAGCTTAAGTTGGAAAATCTTAATTTCTCTTTTCCATTTAAAGGTTCAGATATTTATAAATTTACAGAACAGATAAAACATTTTTAAAACAGACACCAAACATCTTCCTAGGTCTCAATTATAGAATTTATTTCTTGTACCTCACAGGGTTAGACACCACCACATATTAAAATTCTGTCAGGAGAGTGGCCCGTTCGTCTTTAATTCTGCCTGTGTTGCTTTCGGTTCTATTTCGTTCATTTTAATCCAACTACCAAGTAAATGAGCTTCTTTGTCCTTCACTTGAGAGTGAATCCCTTCCTGGTACCCATGTTTCCTAGTGGCTGAATGAGTATGTCTGTCTCCCTGCCCAATGCCAGGGATCTAAGCAGATTCCCCTCTGGGTTCTACCTGATCCTCTGTAGCCACTTGGCTGAGTATTTGAGTCTGCTACAAATTAAGACCTTGCATCAGAGTCCTTTGTACACAATCATGGTTTCCCACAGACCAGTTTCCCTATTTCAGAACAGTCTGTGGAGCCACAGTTCCAGCTGGCAGTCTTTCCAATCATTTGGTCTCGTTTCTGCATTCTGACACCACTGAAAGTATTCTCCCTGCCACTCGGCCAGGATTCCCACCTCCTCTGGTCTCTCAGGTGTGCTTCTGAGCATCGAACTCTAAAGTAATGAAATGTCCCTTTCCCCCAGACAGCAGAGTTGTATCTCTGATTGGAAACAGTCCCTTGGCTCTGTGAGCCTTGGAATCTAATCTGAACAGGTCACCTGACACCACAGTTTTCATTCCTTTATAATTTTTCTTTTCTTCCCATCCACCCACTTCCTTGGTTTAACAGTTCTTGGCTTATACTTCAATCAGAAGAAAAATGACAGATACTAACATTCTCTTTGGTAGCAGATTAACATAAAACATGGGGGACATTTTATTTCAGAAAGGAAAGTATGCTAGAGAAGATAAACTAAGGAGCAAAGCAGAACAGAACCTAGGAGGCGGCCCAGGTGTGCTCAGCCCCAGCAGCGGTGGAGCGACCAGGCTGACCTGGCAACAGACATGAAAGCTTCGGAGGCTGCTTTCTGTGCCTTTCTTTGTGGGTGTTGATCTCATGTCTCTATATTTATAGCAAAACATATCTTTTATTATAAGCTACCCAAATTATTTTGGGAAGGAAATGGGGTATAACTGATAAATAAAAACATTATTCAGATTAGTATCCAAAGAAGCCAGTGAAAAAAGAATACTTTTTTTCCGGTGAACAAATTTGTTATATACAAATACGGTGAAGTCTTGCCTCTGAATATTGAAAGTTATATGTATTAGTCCAGTTAACTGAAAACTATTGCTGTTTTATATAGCCTAGTGGTACATCTTCTGGGATCCAGAATAGGGGTTGACAAATGAGGGCTATGGCCCAATTCAGCCTACTGCCTGCTTTTGTAAGTGAAGTTTCATTGATACATAGCCACACTCATTCAGTTATGCATTATCTACGAATGCTTTCCTGCTACAACAGCAGATCTGAGTGGTTATGAGAGAGCTTCATGGCTCATAAATCCTAAAGCATTTACTATCTGGCCCTTTAAAGAAAAAGTCAGTCATCCCTGACCTTGAATCCCTATCTACAACCCTGTGCACATCTAACAATAGTCCCCTGACCCCAAACCAAATGAACAATTAACTATCCAGAAAAATTCCTTGCTCCTTCTAATTGCTTAATGAAGCCAGTTCAAGAACCAATCATACTCTATACCTGGACCATCAGGGTGAACATACCAGGCAAATTAACAATTAGCTGTCTTGTTTTCAGGATTTTACCTTCTGAGCAGTCTATTTTCAGTCAGAAAATGCTATACGTTGGCATCTAGAGCATGCTGAAATAGATATGGGACTTTCAGAGCCTTCTATATTCATATCAAAACGTGAATAGCAGATACTGTGAAAAGAGAGCCTTCACTAAGTTCTGGAACTCTAGCCAAGGGCAGTGCTGAATGCACAAATGACTGGAGTGACCCTGATTGCTAGTGAGCGGTTTCTCACATGAAGGCAGTGTTAGGTGGACTCGCTACTCAATAGGCTTGTTGAGCCTTGCTATCAGCAGTTTGAACTGAAACTAAAAGCTGAGCCAAAAATGGAATAATTAGGTATTTTCCTATTGCATCATAGTGGGTGTCTAAATTACCTCCCACTTTTTAGCCTGTTAAAACAAACACCTCAGTCATGCAGCCACCTGTTAATTCTCCAAGTGTTTAAAAAGTAAACATGTTAAACAAGTTGTGGGATGAACTTGTAATGAGGGTGGTCAAAGTACAGTGAGTGCGGCAAACGTGTCTTCCAGAAGGGTGTGAGGTACCTACCTTGAAGTCACCTTTCTCATTAATCCCAAGGATCAGGCTGCAAAGTTGAGAGCTGATTAAAAAGTAACTCTGTGCCAAGTCCTGAAGTTATATGGGTTGCAGTTTGGTTTAAAAGATGAGACAGTATGCAAATTTGGTAAACATCTAGATTTCTAACAAGTTAACATCTACAGAACTCCAGCCCACCGAGCCCTCCTGTCCCATCTAAGGCAGGGGAAGAAAGCTAAGAAACATTTGGTAATTTCATAGTCCAGAGGAACGGGCTCGCTGAAGGATTAAGATCTAATCAAAAGTATGTATTAGGTTTATTCTCCCTTCACTCCTCACCACCACATTACTAAAGGCCAATTTATGTGTATAGCAGATCCTTTTAACCGGTACAGCATGTCCAGCTATCAAAAAAAATTTTTCGACAAGGCATAAAAAAAGGCAAAAAACACAAGAGACATTTGAAGAGACAGAGCAAGTATCAGAACCAGATATGGAAGAGATGCTGGCATTATCAGACTGGAAATTTAAAAGAATTATGATTAATATGCTGAGGACTCTAGTGTATAGAATAGACAACATGGGCAATGTAAGCACAGAGACGAGAATCCCAAGAAAGAACCAAAAAGAAATGCTAGAGCTCCAAAACACCAAGAACCAAGGAATGCCTTTATGGGCTTATTAGTAAACTGGACACAACTGAGGGAAGAATCTCTTTGAGTTAAAGGATATGTCAATAGAATCTTTGAAAACCAAAAGGCAATGAGAAGAAGGACGGAAAACAACAGAATGTCCAAGGACTGTGGGACAACCACAAAAGGTGTAACACATGCATAATGGGAATACCAGAAGAGTAAAGAGAGAGAGGGAATAGAAGAAATATGTGAGACAATAATGGCTGACAATTTCCTCCAGATGAATGTCAGACACCAAACCACAGATCCAGGAAGCCTGGAGGACACCACGCAGGACAAATACCAAGGACACTTTGGCATATTATTTTCAAATGACAATAAATCAAAGAGAAAATCCTGAAAGAAGCTGGGGATGGGGAGTGGGAATACTTTAGCTATACGGGAACAAAGATAAGAATTATATCCAGCTTCTCCTCCAAAACCATGTAAACAAAAAGAGAATGAAATATTATATTTAGGAACTGAGAGAGAAAAAATTACCAACTCAGAGTTCCGTACCCTGTGAAATTACCCTTCAAAAGTGAAAAAGAAATAAAGATTTTTCTCAAAAAAAAACTTGAGGGAATTTATTGCCAATAGACCTCCCTTGCAAGATATGTTAAGAGAAGTTCTTCAGAGAGAATGAAAACAACATAGATCCGAAATTCAGACCAACATAAAGAGAAGAGAGCACTGAAGAAGAAGTATAGGGAAAATAAAAACATTTATTA